AGAAATTGAACATTTAGCTCAGAAACTGCTAAAGGCAACTAGAAATTCAACAATTAACTGATGATGTGAACTAGAAATTCAACATTTAGCTCAGAAACTGCTGAAGGCAGTTCAATAATTAACTGATGATGTGAACTAGAAATTCAACAATTAACTGCTGATGTCAACTAGAAATTCAACAATTAACTGCTGATGTCAACTAGAAATTCAACAATTAACTGATGATGTGAACTAGAAATTCAACAATTAACTGATGATGTAAACTAGAAATTCAACAATTAACTGATGATGTGAACTAGAAATTCAACAATTAACTAAGAAACTGCTGAAGTCAACTAGAAATTCAACAATTAACTGCTGGTGTCAACTAAAAATTCAACAATTAACTGCTGAAGTCAACTAGAAACTCAACAATTAACTGCTGGGGTCAACTAGAAATTCAATATTTAATTCGGGAATTGTAGATGTGAACTAAAAATTCAACAATTAACATAGAAACTGTTGATGTCAACTAGAAATTCAATAGTTAACTCAGAAACTATGGCCATATCAAACAGTTAGATAGTGATGAAATACTACGAGTGGTGAGGGACTTCAATGATAGAATACAAACGTCAAATATACCAGATGACTGGTTACACAGCTATCTTAGACCATTTCCATGAGGTATAGGACAGATACCACCTCCCAGAAAGACGTCAGGGCACTCAGGATGTTGCAAGAAACTTACCAGCACATGCTCGCTTCAAAGCTCCAGAAGTCCGGTTGAAAATAGTAGACGAAGAAACTAAACAGTCCGATCCAATCACCCTTATAAACTCATCATTAAAGACCATTGATTCTTACCCCTAAGAATGGATACATGTCTATACTGATGGATCTGCATTCAAAGTCACCATTAAAGCAGGTTACGGAATCTACATAGGTTATCCCGATGGATCTATTGAAGAGATATTTGATGCATGCGGGGAATGCTGCTCAAACTATGAAGCTGAAATAATTGCACTGGAAACAGCAGTATACCACCTAAAGACTGTAATAGATGTTTACCCTTCAAAGGCCCAAAATATTGTCATCTTCACCGATTCAGTGTCTGCTCTTCAAGCTCTGGAGCGCAGTGAACGCTGCAGAATTGACATAGCTAAGATAATTCTAGATGCTGATCAGCTCATTGCCTCATACAACATCAGAATAGTGATGCAGTGGATTCCAGGCCACTCCGGCACACCAGGTAATGACAGAGCTGACAGACTGGCAAAGAAAGGAGCAACACAAGAACAAATACCTATAGCGACAATCCTACAGACAGCAAAAACACTTATAAAAGCTATAAACAAAGAGACTTGGCTGAACAGATGGGCCATGGGAGATACTGGAAGAAAGGTTTATAGACACATGGCTAGCCCTGATCCTAACGACAGCATTAACCATTTAACAAGAAGAAACCAGGCCACAATCTTCAGACTCAGAACACAACATACTCCACTCAATGGACATCTAAACAGAATACAGCCACAACACCCCCAGAGTGCCAGCTATGTAACTACCCTTATGAAACTGTTGAACACCATCTCTTTGAGTACCCAAAACTCAGTGAGACTAGAAGAATGCTACTCCCTCCGAGACCAGACAAGTGGAACACCTTGTACGGAGGAAAAGAACAGTGTGTGAAAACATGTAAATTCCACTACATGGCATTGGACCAAAGGGCAAAAGCTCATGCGCCCCTGGATCAACAAAAACAACAACAACAAACCATTTCCAAAACCAGGCAGGGATCCCTTTCAGCTCAGCAATTATAGAATCATAACTAAATGTGTATGGCAAACTGATGGGAAACAAATTGTGGCCAAGAAGTGATGTCACACTTAGAAAGAATGGTCATGCTACCGGACACCATAGGCAGCTACAGGCCATCAAAAGCAACATGGGACAATGCTGGAATGTTCACATATGATGTGTATGAAGGATTTCAGCCATAGCAAGAAACAGACGCTGTCGCGATAGATTTTGAAGATGGCTATAACAGCGTCGACTTCCTATATCTTATGCAGTGCGTGATGGACTGTGGTGTGAACCCTTGGTTAGCTAATTGAATTGGGGCAGCATTGTTGAAAAGAACAGTGGTATATGGTTTGGGAACATGGAGATCAAATCCAACACGCATTTGCCCAAGCCTTCCGCAGGGTTAGATTTGATGTTTGATCGCAGTCTGTCTTACAAATATGTGGAGCAAACTGTGAACAAATGCAAGCGTAGCCTGGCAGCACTGAAGACAATGGTGGCAACACACATGGAACAGAGATTATTGGTCTTATTGTTCAATCATTTGGTCCTTTTTGTAACCGATTATGGCCTAGGAATATTAACCCTATCTACTTCAGTGTACAAAGCTTGAAAGGATTCAAAATGAAGGAATGAGAATCGTCTTGGGTTGCGCACGGAACACCTCAATTAGAACAATGAGGTAAATGCTTGAGCTGACATCAGTAAAGTCTAGACTATCACTGGCGCAAGCCAAAGCCTATTTGCGAGTTACCAATGATGAAAGGCATCCGCTGCATGGTAATTTGAACAATTTAAGAAAAAACGGTTAAAAAGAGGAAAGTCATGGATGGCACTAACTGAAGATACCATCGAGACCGCTGCCTCTGTCAAGCAAATACACAGGGGACAGGAATGGATCAAAACGAACACCCACATCAGTAGTTTCTATCAGGTCATTATCACGTTGGGAAGAGAATGTAGAGAGCGGTGTAACCGTATGGCAGAATTAGAGGTACAACAAGGATAGATGGAAAGGCTGGACTAGATGATGCACTAGTGTACACAGATGGTTTCGTTCATCGGAGTGTAAGATCTGGCTGGGGATTTTCAGCTAGAATAAAGGGAAACATTGTGGCAGAACAAAAAGGAGCTTTTTTATCTACAACTTCGAGCATGAGAATGGAAGTGGGGACAATTACTGCAGCTCTATAAAACGGATAGCAGAAAATTAAGTTACCAGAGGAATTATTGTGTCTGATTCTTAGTCGACACTGCAGAAGGTTCCAAATGGACTAATGTAGCATAAGTGGATACCATGTACCAGTACACCAACATTGCAGGGAATCACATGGATTTACTGTCCAGAAAGTGTGAGGGAATGAAAGAGCAGATTTTCTGGTTACAAAAGCTAAAGCTATGGGAACGCTCGTACTGGACAAGGGAGATATTCAGAAGACCACACATAAACGACTTTCGGCAGAAGACACGAGATTAAATGAAACAACATGGGGGAAAATGTGTGAACAAGGAATTTGAGTGTGGATCTGGCGAGGAGGGATGGATGAGAGGAAGAGATCGGTGTGTGTATAATCAGTGTGCTACAAGAAAAGTTAGCATCTACACCTTATGTCATTTGCTGCGAGAGATTTATGGGTATGCCCGGTGTGCTATAATGTCCATTCTCAAATCGATAGTCAGTAATCAGAAACTGTTGATGTCAACTAGAAATCTGAAAATTAACTCAATAACTGTTGATGTCAACTAGAAATTCAAAAGTTAATTCAGAAACTGTTATTGTCAACTAGAAGTTTGAAAATTAACTCAGAAACTGTTGATGTGAACTAAAAAAATTAACAATTAACACAGAAACTGTTGATTTCAACTACAAATTCCACAAATAACTCAGAAACTTCTGATGTCAACAAGAAATGCAACAATTCAAACACAAACTCTTGATGTGAAATAGAAAGGCAACAATTCAATCCCAAACTCTTGATGTGAAATAGAAAGGCAACAATTCAATCCCAAACTCTCGATGTGAAACAGAAAGGCAACAAGTGACTCACACACTGACTGCTGCATATGCTCCTGGAGATGGCAAGACATGAAATACTGTTCACTAAGAAGACTGGTTTTGTGGATGGTAGAGAAATCTCACATGCAGATGCGCACCTCATACACAACACATACATCTGTTCACTAACAGCCTCAGACATCTTTACTTGTCTATTATCTGTTCACGGTCGGCCTCAGACATCTCTGCTTGTCTATCATCTTTACAGAAAAACATTTGACGACAACACCACCAGGTCAACATTTACAGAAAGTACATCTGATGACAACACCACCAGGTCAACATTTACAGAAAGCACATCTAATGGCAACACGACCAGGTCAACATTTACAGAAAGCACATCTGATGACAACACCACCAGGTCAACATTTACAGAAATCACATCTATTGGCAACACCACTAGGTCAACATTTACAGAAAGCACAACTGATGGCAACACCACCAGGTCAACATTTACAGAAAGCACATCTGATGACAACACCACCAGGTTAACATTTACAGAAAACACATCTAATGGCAACACCACTAGGTCAACATTTACAGAAAGCACATCTGATGACAACACCACCAGGTTAACATTTACAGAAAGCACATCTGATGACAACACCACCAGGTTAACATTTACAGAAAGCAACACCACCAGGTAACCATTTACAGAAAGCACATCTGATGGCAACACAACCAGGTCAACATTTACAGAAAGCAACACCACCAGGTCACCATTCACAGAAAGCACATCTGATGGCAACACCACCAGGTCAACATTTACAGAAAGCACATCTGACGGCAACACCACCAGGTCAACATTTACTGAAAGCACATCTGACGGCAACACCACCAGGTCAACATTTACAGAAAACACATCTGATGACAACACCACCAGGTCAACATTTACAGAAAACACATTTAATGGCAACACCACCAGGTCAACATTTACAGAAAACACATCTGATGACAACACCACCAGGTCACCATTTACAGAAATTGGGTCAATGGGGTAAAGAACATAGGCCATTAATCAGTCACATAATAACCATTCATTTGAGGAAAGAAACTAGACAACTCACTTATATCTTACCTACAATACTTGGACTCCAGCAGCTTGAAGACAACAGAAATAGTACACAAATGTAGTGAGGAAAGAGACTAGGCAACTCACCCATATTCTGTCTATAACAATTGGAATCAGCACATACTGAAGCAGGGCTTGAGCTTCTAGTATTCTCCAAAGGCAAATAATCACAATAGTTGTAACGGAGTGGGACATCTCAAACTGTAATTGCTGCTCAACAAAACAAACATAATAGCTGTAACGGAGTGGGACCTATTAAACTGTAATTGCTGCTCAACAAAACAAACATAATAGCTGTAAAGGAGTTGGACATCTTAAACTGTATGTGCTGCTCAACTGTAACATTTTGGAAATAAAGTTTGTTCATTCGTTTGTTCAGACTGTACAAGATAACACTTCAAGTGTCTACCAAGTGTGCACAGCGATTCACTGTACAAGATAACACTTTAAGTGTCTACCAAGTGTGCACAGCGATTCACTGTACAAGATAACACTTTAAGTGTCTACCAAGTGTGCACAGCGATTCACTGTACAAGATAACACTTCAAGTGTCTGCCAAGTGTGCACAGCGATTCACTGTACAAGATAACACTTCAAGTGTCTACCAAGTGTGCACAGCGATTCACTGTACAAGATAACACTTCAAGTGTCTGCCAAGTGTGCACAGCGATTCACTATACAAGATAACACTTCAAGTGTCTACCAAGTGTGCACAGCGATTCACTGTACAAGATAACACTTCAAGTGTCTACCAAGTGTGCACAGCGATTCACTGTACAAGATAACACTTTAAGTGTCTGCCAAGTGTGCACAGCGATTCACTGTACAAGATAACACTTCAAGTGTCTACCAAGTGTGCACAGCGATTCACTGTACAAGATAACACTTTAAGTGTCTACCAAGTGTGCACAGCGATTCACTGTACAAGATAACACTTCAAGTGTCTGCCAAGTGTGCACAGCGATTCACTGTACAAGATAACACTTTAAGTGTCTACCAAGTGTGCACAGCGAATCACTGTACAAGATAACACTTCAAGTGTCTACCAAGTGTGCACAGCGATTCACTGTACAAGATAACACTTTAAGTGTCTGCCAAGTGTGCACAGCGATTCACTGTACAAGATAACACTTCAAGTGTCTACCAAGTGTGCACAGCGATTCACTGTACAAGATAACACTTCAAGTGTCTGCCAAGTGTGCACAGCGATTCACTGTACAAGATAACACTTTAAGTGTCTGCCAAGTGTGCACAGCGATTCACTGTACAAGATAACACTTTAAGTGTCTACCAAGTGTGCACAGCGATTCACTGTACAAGATAACACTTCAAGTGTCTGCCAAGTGTGCACAGCGATTCACTGTACAAGATAACACTTCAAGTGTCTGCCAAGTGTGCACAGCGATTCACTGTACAAGATAACACTTCAAGTGTCTGCCAAGTGTGCACAGCGATTCACTGTACAAGATAACACTTCAAGTGTCTGCCAAGTCAGAGAGTGCAAATCCAGCCCATGGGAGTCCTGAGGATTTCTAAAGGGGGAGGTAATCAAGTCTCACAAGAAAGTGTGGCAACTGGTTACTTCCCCTACAGCCAGTACTTAGTAAAACTGATCATACGACAGGGACATTGGCTAGCAGATGGTCAGGCTAAGTGAAGCCAGCAAGCAAAAGTCTTGTGTCTGAGTCACTCCCTGATGTTTCATGACAGATGGAGAGGTCAACATTAAAATGTCTTAGTCATATCCCTACGTGTCAATAACAGATGGAGAGGTCAAGGCTGAAATGTCTAAATCATTCCTTGATGTGTCAATGACAGATGGAGAGGCTAATGTTGAAATGTCTAAGTCATTCCCGGACGTGTCAATAACAGATGCAGAGGCTGAAATGTCTAAGTCATTCCCAATGTGTCAATGACAGATGGAGAGGCTGAAATGTCTAAGTCATTCCCGGATGTGTCAATAACAGATGGAGAGGTCAAGGCTGAAATGTCTAAATCATTCCCCAATGTGTCAATAACAGATGGATAGGTCAAGGCTGAAATGTCTAAATCATTCCCCAATGTGTCAATAACAGATGGAGAGGTCAAGGCTGAAATGTCTAAATCATTCTTCGATCTGTCAATGACAAAGGAAGAAGTCAATGCTGACACGACACTTACCGACATCTTAGGATCCTTCAGTGGAACTTGGAATACATTCTCAAAATTTTCCACCGCCAAATCCCAGAACTTGCCAGCAAAAGCCAGGCATATGCCAAAACAAAAAACTTTCCAGAACAGATATTTCTTGCTGTAGGTCTCTTTAGCGCTGGAGCTATGTCCGTTGGTGGGAAGGAGAGACTTGTTTGCCGAATCCTGGTTGAGGAATGTGGGCAGCTCCTGCTTGCAGTGATCAAATCTCTTGAACAGGTAAAAGAGAATTCCAAAACACAGAAACACCCCACCAAAAGCATCACAGGTGATATCCATATAATAGCCCAGAGATGTCCTAATTGACTTGAACTGCAGCTGTTTTTGGTTCTGTGCCCGAAAGACAACACCATCGAAAGCATCCAGCCAGATGCGGATCTCGAACAGGAGCGCCCCAATCCTGCGGTCATAGAGGTTCTCTGAGGCCACAAACTTGCCCGCCACCAGGGCCACCAGCAAGTGGCTGATGGAGATCATGTTGGGGCTGATGAAGCTGAAGACACTGGAGAAGTTAGTGATCACATCAAAGTATTCGGCTGTAGGGCTGATGATGTACTGACTGGTGGGGTCGCACATGACTTCCTTGATGGACAAGTGGGTGAAGGGTGAGAACATCTCATTGGGTTGGCCAGGCTTGGAGTCCTCCAGCACGCTGACGGTGCGAAACCTGGTGAAGAGGATGATGTCCATCATCAGATAGTAGGCAGCCAGGAGAGCACACACGAAGACACAAGTGGTTTTAGCATCACGGAACAGGCCAGTGCCACAAAATGGCAACTTTCCCCATGACTCGCAGCAGCAAACACGTCGAGGGCAAGAGGGGGGAGGAGTCCAATAAGCTGTCAGCTGAGGGCATGGACACAGCACACAAGAGGCCCTCTGTCTGTTGAATACAACAACAAAAGTCTCAGGTATGAGTGGAGAGAATGAGCAGTCAACTGATTACACTCATACAGCACACAAGAGGCCCTCTGTCTGTTGAATACAACAACAAAAGTCTCAGGTATAAGTGGAGAGAATGAGCAGTCAACTGATTACACTGACACAGCCCACAAGAGGCCCTCTGTCTGTTGAATACAACAAAAGTGGAGAGAATAAGCAGTCAACTGATAACACTCATACAGCACACAAGAGGCCCTCTGTCTGTTGAATACAACAACAAAAGTCTCAGGTATAAGTGGAGAGAATAAGCAGTCAACTGATTACACTCATAGAGCACACAAGAGGCCCTCTGTCTGTTGAATACAACAACAAAAGTCTCAGGAATAAGTGGAAAGAATAAGCAGTCAACTGATTACACTCATACAGCACACAAGAGGCCCTCTGCCTGTTGAATACAACAACAAAAGTCTCAGGTTTAAGTGGAGAGAATAAGCAGTCAACTGATTACACTGACACAGCACACAAGAGGCCCTCTGTCTGTTAAATACAACAAAAGTGGAGAGAATAAGCAGTCAACTGATTACACTGACACAGCACACAAGAGGCCCTCTGTTGAATACAACAAAAGTTTCAGGTATAAGTGGAGAGAATAAGCAGTCAACTGATTACACTGACACAGCACACAAGAGGCCCTCTGTTGAATACAACAAAAGTTTCAGGTTTAAGTGGAAAGAATAAGCAGTCAACTGATTACACTCATACAGCACACAAGAGGCCCTCTGTCTGTTGAATACAACAACAAAAGTTTCAGGTATAAGTGGAGAGAATGAGCAGTCAACTGATTTCACTGACACAGCCCACAAGAGGCCCTCTGTCTGTTGAATACAACAAAAGTGGAGAGAATAAGTAGTCAACTGATTTCACTGACACAGCACACAAGAGGCCCTCTGTCTGTTGAATACAACAAAAGTGGAGAGAATAAGCAGTCAACTGATTTCACTGACACAGCACACAAGATGCCCTCTGTCTGTTGAATACAACAAAAGTTTCAGGTATAAGTGGAGAGAATAAGCAGTCAACTGATTACACTCATACAGCACACAAGAGGCCCTCTGTCTGTTGAATACAACAAAAGTCTCAGGTATAAGTGGAGAGAATAAGCAGTCAACTGATTACACTCATACAGCACACAAGAGGCCCTCTGTCTGTTAAATACAACAACAAAAGTTTCAGGTATAAGTGGAAAGAATGAGCAGTCAACTGTTTGCACTGATACAGCTCATATGAGGCAATCTGTCAGCTGAACACAATCCAGCAGATGAAGGTGCAGGTAGATAGTTACTAGAATGTGTAGGTATATAGTTACTAGAATGTGTAGGTAGATAGCTACTAGAATATGCAGGTAGATAGTTACTAGAATGTGCAGGTATATAGTTACTAGAATGTGCAGGTATATAGTTACTAGAATATGCAGGTATATAGTTACTAGAATATGCAGGTACATAGTTACTAGAATATGCAGGTAGATAGTTACTAGAATGTGCAGGTAGATAGCTACTAGAATATGCAGGTAGATAGTTACTAGAATGTGCAAGTAGATAGTTACTAGAATGTACAGGTATATAGTTACTAGAATGTGCAGGTATATAGTTACTAGAATGTGTAGGTAGATAGTTACTAGAATGTGTAGGTTGACAGTTACTAGAATGCTACACAATATGTGGGTATATAGCTACTAGAATGTGTAGGTAGATAGTTAGTAGAATGTGCAGGTATATAGTTACTAGAATGTGTAGGTAGATAGTTACTAGAATGTGTCGGTAGACAGTTACTAGAATGTGTAGGTAGATAGTTACTAGAATGTATAGGTAGAGAGTTACTAGAATGTGTAGATATATAGTTACTAGAATGTGTAGGTTGACAGTTACTAGAATGTGTAGGTAGACAGTTACTAGAATGCTACAGAATATGTGGGTATATAGTTACTAGAATGTGTAGGTAGATAGTTACTAGAATGTGTAGGTATATAGTTACTAGAATATGCAGGTATACAGTTACTAGAATGTACAGGTATATAGTTTCTAGAATGTTTAAGTATATAGTTACCAGAATGTGTAGGTATATAGCTACCATAATGTGACAGAAAGTGTGGGTATATAGTTACTAGAATGTAAAGGTATATAGTTACTAGAATGTGACAGATGTAATAGTACTCACTGAGTGCTGACCAAATCTTCAGTGCTGATTGTGTTTAACCTTTTGTCCAACATGTCTCAGGTCTGAAAACAGATTACACACATGTATGTATAGATATGTACACACAAAATATGTATTAATGCACACTGAGACACAAACAAGACAACTTCTGTCAATTTGTGGCCATAAGAATACAACAGCATGTCAACCTAGATCAGTTGTTGTCAACCTGTAAGGCCAAACTCATAGGGGTCGAACAACCATCTCACAGCGGTCACCTAGAACCACCAGAAAACACATATTCACTGAAGTAGCAATGAAAATAACCGTATGGTTGTGGGGGTCACCAGAAGATGAGGAACTCTATTAAAGGTCGCGGCATTAGGAAGGTTGAGATCCACTAACCTAGATGACTATGATGTGGATATAGAGACAAGTCACATGTTCTATGACGTGGATATAGAGACATGTCACACGGTCTATGACGTGGATATAGAGACAAGTCACATTGTCTATGACGTGGATACAGAGACAAGTCACACGTTCTATGACGTGGATATAGAGACAAGTCACGTGGTATGTGATGTGACTATAGAGACAAGTCGCATGGTCTATGATGTGGATACAGAGACAAGTCACATGTTCTATGACGTGGATATAGAGACAAGTAACATGATCTGTGATGTGGATATAGAACAAGTCACACCTTCTATGACGTGGATATAGAGTCAAGTCACATCGTCTATGATGTGGATATAGAGACAAGTCACATGTTCTATGACGTGGATATAGAGACAAGTAACATGATCTGTGATGTGGCTAAAGAGACAAGTCACATGGTCTATGATGCAGCTATAGAGACAAGTAACATGATCTGTGATGTGGCTATAGAGACAAGTCACACGTTCTATGACATGAATATAGAGACAAGTCACATGGTCTATTATGTGGCTATAGAGACAAGTCACATGGTCTATGATGTGGATATAGAGACAAGTCACATGGTCTATTATGTGGCTATAGAGACAAGTCACATGGTCTATGATGTGGATATAGAGACAAGTCACATGGTCTATGAAGTGGCTATAGAGACAAGTCACATGGTCTATGATGTGGATATAGAGACAAGTCACATCGTCTATGATGTGGCTATAGAGACAAGTCACATGGTCTATGATGTGGATATAGAGACAAGTCACATCGTCTAAGATGTGGCTATAGAGACAAGTCACATGGTCTATTATGTGGATATAGAGACAAGTCACATCGTCTATGATGTGGCTATAGAGACAAGTCACATGGTCTATGATGTGGATATAGAGACAAGTCACACATTCTATGATGTGGATATAGAGACAAGTAACATGGTCTATGATGTGGCTATAGAGACAAGTCACACATTCTATGATGTGGATGTAGAGACAAGTCACATCGTCTATGATGTGGCTATAGAGACGTCACATGGTCTATGACATGGATATAGAGACAAGTCACATCGTCTATGATGTGGATATAGAGACAAGTCACATGGTCTATGATGTGGCTATAGAGACAAGTCACATCGTCTATGATGTGGCTATAGAGACAAGTCACATGGTCTATGATGTGGCTATAGACAAGTAACATGGTCTATGATGTGGATATAGAGACAAGTAACATGATCTGTGATGTGGATACAGAGACATTTCACGATGTCTATGATGTGGATAAATAGGTGAGTGTAAATTGAGAAAGGATAGATAGACACTGGCAGCAGCATTCATGTTTGACTACATGAGTTGATGTATTATGGTTGTGTGTGCTCATACATAACACACACACACCACATACGGGTGATAAAACATCCAAAGTACCTGGTACTTAGGTACAATGTGTGTTTATATGTATGTGTGTGTGTGTGTAACAATAAAACAGCTACTGTTTCTGATGTAGACACAGGCCGTGTGGACAGTAAAACAACCAAAGCTGTCTGGAAACAAGTGAAATTCCTTGAAGTTAAAAAGTTAATATACGATGTCACAGGTACCACCAGAATATAATATAACAATGTGGAAGGTACCACCAGAATTTAATATAACAAGTCTCATTTGTTCAACAACAAACCAGCTTGTGGTGTGTACTTCAGGCGGTAAGACCAGTTTCTGTGACCTCACTAACAAAATCAAATCCGGTATTTGAAGCATTGGTCACGGCCCAGTGAACAAGGGCAGCCAGTAGTTGGCGTGCTGGTCCACAAGACGAGATGGTGGTCGCCTAGCAGCCAATGACATGTTTTGGGAAAAGTAACAAACATTCACGTTTAGTGGCTCAAAAGATATGTGTAATTATTTGAATTAGTAATAAAATATGGACATGAATTTGAGCGAGTTGTAAAAATATGTCCGTGCTCCAACTTTAAAGTTTGCAGCAAGGGGCAACAATGAAAGAGACGGGGAACCGTGTCATGTTGTGGTGTCACTTGTCAGATGGCCAACTATTTGACTCACCTGGGCCACAAGTTGACTGAAACAAACATCAAATGTCCACTTAGTGTGTAGCTGTCAGTGATCTTGATTTCAGAGAGCTGGTAATGCAATGAAGAAGACCCTGGTGGACACATCAACAATGACAAGTGTATCAAATATCCAACCACGGAAATAAACAAGGAAAAGCGAAAGAACGTCGTCGTTCGTCCTGCTTCCTGCAGCAGACCATCTCTGGCTGGCCCTGGCCCTGTCGCTCGCTTGCTCTAGTTGCCGGTTGTACACTTAGAGGCCAAATGGCTGCTCGCCCACACGTCTCCTAAAATATAACCTTATATCAAGCCTCTCACATCGGCGAGCCGGTTGCCCATTGACTGGCGAGGGTGTGTGTACGTATGTTTAAAGCTTCTTAGATCACACTTAGTGGTTTCATTTCAAGTTTTTAACAGACTGTGGGGTTTTTGAGTGTGTATGTGTGTAGTACTAATATCGTGCCACCTTCTACTGTACTGGTGCAGGCTTAATCGTAGGTGGTTCATCTCATCTATTCAAATATTATCAAACCCTAAATAAAGTTTCTTGAAGGATCTTGGTGCAGGTGACAGTAGTGGCATATCGCCTTCTACTGTACGACTTTAAAGAATGAGCGCTACAAAACATGACCTTTTTCCACGTGGCCGTGCACACGTATATATATATATATATATATATATATATATATATATATATATATATATATATATATATATATATATAATTTTTTTAAAGTATCCAGAAACCATAAGTTGTTAACCCTTTGGATGGGTACTATGGATATCGCAACACTTCGGCCTTGATTCCATGATAGGTACCGTAAATCTGGGAGTAATATGGCTTATTTGCCTACCCTCGGGCGTGAACCCGGACCACAAGGACTTCGTCACCCAGTCACCACGAAGTCAGGTTTAACCAACTACGCTAGCGAGCCGAGCTCATATATATATATATATATATATATATATATATATATATATATATATATATATATATAGGTTGTTCGTCCATCACGAGTGACGAAGACCACTTTTCATTCACACTAGCAATGATTAATGAGTACGAAGGTGGCTGATTACTCCAATATGAGCCTGGAAAGTTCTGGAGCAGTGCGGAAAACAAGTGGAAGCCGCAGTAAGTGTGGGGTTAGCGAAACGGTTCTTTCTAGTCTGCCTTCGTTCCTCTATCTGTGCAACCACCGCTGCCTGGCAGGGAATATTTTGAAGCTGACACCGCCTGTAGCCGCTACATCGAATGGACGCAAGAAAATAAACTGTCCATATATAAACTATTTTTATTCGCTGAAACTCAAAACACTTACTACCCCACCTTAAATATTTAAATGAGAAGAAATGACCGCATCAAGAAATGTATACCAGAACCAAGAAATTTATGACATGACAGAGAAATTTATGTCAGAAGTAATAGATATATGACAAAACAATGAATGTATGACAGAACCGAGAAAAGTTATTTTACGATGCTTCGTTCAAACTTGTTAAATTCCAAGCAAATCTTACATTTTCGTTTTTGGGACGTTAGAACTATGTATCAGATATAAAAACAACTCAAGTGTGTAGTCTTGTGAACGAAATGCAATCTGGATATTCTCGGGGTCAGTGATTGTAGATTCCACATCAAGCCCTCATATGGACACTGGAAGGAGAAAGAAAACGAGGAAGACCAAGAGAGACTTTATGTAGAACCATCATCAGGGAAGGCTCAACCAATGGCGTCCAAGAGAGACTCTGCGTAGAACCATCATCGGGGAAGGCTCAACCAATGTCTACATACTCTAGTTAATTCTATTCACCGTCCTTTTTATGATGAAAATTTTCGTTATTTGAAGCCCCGCCCTAACTCTTGCCGGGGTTTCAAGATTGAATGACACCCAATATGCTGATCCTCGGAGACCTGAACAGCCATCATCCTTTATGGGGGAAACTCAGAGCAGACCGAGCTGGAAACAGACTAGTCGAGTTCATAGAATCAAACCGGCTTATGGTCCTTAACGACGGTTCGATAACCAGAGTAAACCCCTGCCCGAGACACAGGGACTCCGCAGTAGACATCACCCTAGCCACACCGGAGCAAGTGGGATGCACTTGGACGGTAGCAGACGATTCAAGCAGCGACCATCTCCCGATTCTAATAAACACGAACGTGACCCCGATGTCAAGGGCAAAAAGCAACCGGCCTAAATTCTTTATGAAAAAAGCCAGGTGGGATTCCTTCCAGCAAGAACTTGAAGAAACTCCACTCGGCAAGCACACAGAAGAGAATATCAGCCAATATGCAGAGCGATTCACCACTACCATCCTGAAAGTAGCGGTGAAGCACATCCCCAATAAAAACATGCCGGTAGACTTAACAGGTCAGGCATACATGAAACCAAGACCCGTCATAGGCAGGCCCCAAAAACAGGTCGGCTGGTGGAATGACCTCTGCACAACCCACAAAGAGAGGCGGAAAGCTCTGCAGAGGTACAAGCGATCCCGTTCTCCAGGCGACTTCAAAATTTACAAAATCCTGAGAAACAAGGCCAACACTGCAGTAAAGAATGCCAAAAAAGCAAAATG